TGGTTCATGCTCCACTGCATGCCGGGTCACGCAAACTCTGCACAGAACTAATTAAGCTATTTGTGTGCTATTCCTCTCCTAGCGCCTATACGTAGCTGGAAGCCCCGGGAACATATTCACCGAGCGTGATTCGCTTCTTCAGCCATCGCAACAAAAGCCGGCCACCATACCAAAACGCCTCGCCCCAGACCGCTGGCGGAGTCGGCAGCAAGGCGCCCTCCGCCTTCCCTTCGGCACACGCCTGCGCAGTACAGACGCGGCACCGGCCCGCCGAAGTGTCACATCATAGGCATGTCCACGTCGGTGTGGTCCCGGATCCAGCTGATGTAGGGACCGACGCGGGTGTAGCCGGCCGGGTCACCGGTCTCGCAGCCGGCGCCGGCGACGAAGCTGCTGATGCCCACCTGGGTCCAGCGGCCGCCCTGCAGCACCATCAGCGGGCCGCCGCTGTCGCCCTGGGGGCGGAGTGAGGTCAGACACGGCGGAGTGACGTCAGACATGGTGGAGTGATGTCAGACGGAATTAAGCGTCTCGAGCCTTTGCAGAGCGACGCTAATGACGGCGGATTGACGTCACAATAGTGGAGTGACGTCAGCAATGGTGTAGTGACGTTACACGCGACGGAGCGGCGTCGGATGAGCGGCGTCAGGCACGACAGCGATTTCGGGAGCGGTGGAGTGATGCCAGATATGACGGAAGATACTAGGTAGCATTGGGTAGCATTAGGGGCCTGTCTTTTACTGGCAAACGCAAGCCCATTCTCTACTTCTGAGTGATCCCATTCATTACCTATGACGTCATGGCCCAAGCCCATTTTTACTCGGTCGAGAGGTGAAAAAAGCGTTTGTTTACAACTAAGTTGTCGCTGTTGACGTAGTAACCCATTACAACGGTCAACGCGTCGTCGAAGGCCTTATGTGTCCGGCAAACAGAAGGTCTCGATTGCATGTGGATAGTGCGATTGATAATTATGTCTTTAGCCATAATATTTGACCAACACGGTCAATTGAAATAATATTCAGGTGCGCTATTCCTGCACGCTTCATTTCTCCACCGGATCAAATCGGCTGATTCTACCCGTGCCCGTATTTACTATTAAAGCAGCTCGTCATTGGCGCGCATCTGCGACGCCCCAGGCTGCTGCCTCAATGGACGGAGGTTCTCGCGTAAGTCAATGAAGAGTCGGGCCTGGGCGTGACGCAGCGGCGTCAGGAGCGGCAGGGTAACGCCGGCTACAGCGGGCGGACTTGACACAGGGCAGCGGCGCCAGCAACAGCACATGTACAACAATCCTAAACACCTCATCATTTCGTTTGGGGTATCTGAGCCAGGCTTGACGTCACCATGGTAGCGGCAGCACCATTTGTGATTGTGGTATTGCAGTTGGCTGCCAATCACCCAGGGCATCTCATTTAGTATGCCCTCAATGGTATAATATAACGTTAAATAGGCCATTGTAGGTCATCGGCATCATTTTGACATGAGCGATGTCATTAACCCATCAAAAGACAACCGTTCAAAGTGATCATTTTGCCCTGAGTTCGTGTCCAAGCGTTTCATCCATCACCAATGAACAGAAAAACATACGTGCGAGCGGATGGCAGCGAATGAACCAGAAACTGTATCCACCGAGCTCCTCTCACCAGCCGCTCGAGTAGGCGAGAAACGCATCAATCTGACCATTTGCAACTTTCTTAACAGAGAGACCTGACACGGCACGGATACGCCTGTACATCGCGCTCGCCAACTCCCCAAACAGCACGCTGAAATTGTTCAACTGTTACGCCGACCAGCCAGTACAGTCGGAACGGTCGGAACAGCAACGCAGCAGCCAAAGCTCGCGACGAGACTTCTAAAGCGCGCTGTATTTCGCGGCTTGCTGTCAGCGCGAGCTATTTTACGCATCCTCTAATCCGATATTTGCCGAGACACTTGCCGTCGCCACCTGCTGGGGAAGGACAGGAGAAGGCGAAGGGGGGGGGGGGGGAGCAGAGAACGTTGGCGTTTCATATTCCCATTGGCGACCTTGGGAACCAACCATCCGATCCGGCTGATTCAAAAGGCTAAGGGTATTCCTGAACCATACAGTTTTAACTCACCCAAGATAGCTTGCTTTTTAGATGAAGTGCTTTGCAACATAAGACACGTTAAAATGTTGCGCCGCCCACCACTCTAGGTTCCCAAGCCTAACGGTAGGGGACGAAGCCCGCGGCAGCAGGTAACTTGGTACGCGCAGCCCTGAGGCGCCTGTGCAGGCTTAGGAATTGCAGCATCCGACGCGGTGGCCCAACATCATTTTAGGTTCACTACTGCAATGCAAATTATGAAAATGCACAAAGCACATAACCCATTAATGAAAGCAAACTTAGCACATACAACTCCGGTAAGACTCATCCCGCACAGTTGCCAATGTGGTTATCATTAATAACATGTCGGTGCCTACGACTTCCTTTTTGTTTTCAGTGGTAACATAGCTCGCCCTATAACCAACTCCAACAATATAAATACAGAGGACATATGCCATGCACAAACGTTTAAAAATGTGATGTTATTATTTTGCTTTCCAGGCGATTCATTCATTTGGTCTGACTCGGGACATCTCTCGCTATGGTACCTTGGCACGGACATGTATGTAAAGCCTTAGAGGGCACAATATCCTATGTCACCACCTCATCATTCGCCCATCAACGCATTTATGGTTGGTATCGTCGCAGATCAGAGTTTAATTCGAATATATCTTCTTCTCTCAGATAGGGGCGAACGCACTTTTGCCCATACTAGGATTATTTGGTTTGAATTGGTTGTGATCGCTCCACTCAGTTCATTCTTGTCAAGCTGATATGCAGGCACAGCTGGGGCGCAATCTACCGGTGAAATCGACGGAAGGATATTGCATGTTTATGGAAGGATATACTGAAGTTGGAGGGCAAACCGCGACACCTATTTTTACATGCCCACTTGAATAAGACAACTTATCATTTCGGCATCCAGGCATTTTACCACATTCTCCTTATCACAATATTAGTGAAGCCCAATGCTGCCCATCTGGCTTTCCCTGACTGAACGGATGATTAAAATGCATTGGAACCTGCCCAAAAGTGCTGCTCGCCTTGCACACACATTGCTTGGACTTGAGTTCGGTATGGTCCAACAACCCAATTTGACAAAAACGATGAGTTGCAATAAGTGAGTGAATAATGTCGAAATAACAAGCCACTTATTAACAGGGAATCATGGATAAAATCAACATGGACGTGACATTATCTCATTTATTTTGAGCCACCGAATTTTGAGACTGCAAGCATATTTCAAACGGACGGGTAAACGAGAGAGGGCACAATATTTCAAAGGGGCGGATACACAAATGGGTGGAGGCTATATGCGCAGAGTAACTGGTAGATCATGCGATTGTGCGACTGGGCGACAGACTGTGCGACTGCGCGACGGACTGTGCGACTGTGCGACGGACTGTGCGACCGTGCGACAGGCCTGCCGAGCGGAAGCGGGAGCAAGATGACATGACTCCGCAACACATCCGAGTGCGCTGCCCGACAAGGCCACCCTGATGTCCGAGGGCGAATGCTGACAGCTCACCCCCGCGACTGACAGACCTGTGTGCGCCATTGCCTCCGCTCTGCACTCACCGAGCAGTGGGTCTGCTTGCCGGTGGTGGGGCTGGAGCACATCTTGAGCGGCGTGATGTGGAACGGCCAGCGCTGGGCGCACTCGCAGTTGCCAATGACCCGCACCTTCGCCACCTGCAGGATGAAGCTGCCGCCGTGCTGAAAGCACAGGACCCTCAGCTGGGTGGGCTGGGCGACACCAGGCTTCCGTTGGCCCGCGACCGCCTGGCCAGCTCAGAAAAGCTCATAACTTTTTATTCACTAATCTTTAGGGCATTCAATGCAGGCCCATCAAATTTTTAGTAGATGTGGAACGGGATGTGCCTTACATATCCCGGTACAAGATGCTTTCGAGCCAGGCAAGGTCAACGAGATAGGCGTTCATAGGGAAGGTCTGAACGGCTGTCCAAGCCATCTATCTAACATGATGTGGACCTTAACACGCGCCCCGGTGGCCGGCTGGATACCATTCGCTCGGGTGGGGGTCGATTTAACCCACTGATATCTCAAGAACTAAATAAGTCAGAGACACCATATTCACGCAGTGTGTTGGCCTGTATGTGAACTCACTTAGATCAAAAACTGAGCTTCCTAGGTCATGACCTTCGGGTCAAATAACATCAAACAATGTCAAACGCCAGGTTGGTCTCCGAAGTGTTCCCAGAACCTCGATACCTGTTCTAGGCAAAAGGTGACATGCTTATTAAAGGTCAGTGACCTTGTTTGCCCTTTTGAAGGACATGGTGACCAAAATCACACAAGACTGGTTGTGGGCTTTGCGTTTGAATAATCGGTAGATAACGCTAGGCAGTGTGTTCCTAAAACCCGAATGTTGGCCTGGGTCATTTTGGATCAGTGACCTATTCTGACCTTTAAGAAGTGCATGGAAGATGCATAATACGGTTCATGTTATCAATCATTTCGAAACGACCACCAGAAACTACTCCATACAGCAATTTTTACAGTAATAAGCAAGTTGCTGTTGACCTTGGTGTGATCTTCATGACTGACGGTAAGCCAATGCCATTTGTTCATTCAATTGTTGCGTTGTCCAAGAAAGTATCTCTTAGATGAACGGCTGCGTCTAACACCCCGTTGTTGCATCAGATTGAATGATTCCCTATAAATTGACTTCGCTGAATCTATGACCTTACTTTGACTTGCTGTAAGTTAGCGACCTGACCAGGCACATCTCAATTTTGTGATACCAAGTAATCTACTATTGAATTATCTACAGTTCTACAAAATTTGGCGCGGCTACGCCGCGCCCTTCGGAAACAATTCCGGAAAAATATTCGGTGTGCTAACTTACCCCCCCCCCAGAGCGTGTGTTAACGCTGATAACCATGCTGCAAATTTATCGCCTTGATATAAGCAACAACGTCCCTCAGCTCTCGGTTTTTCTGGATTATGGGCCAAATGTTCTTATGGTGAGCTAACGACCTTCAACATACCAGAAGTACTAGTAAAACGACGTCGTTACGCTGGATAACAATGTTATTGATGGTACTAACGGTCAATTTCATCGCTAGTTAGCATTACATCGTTGTTTAACCAGTACCATCTGGTAGGTTGAAGCTCAATATGTCGCAAGAGTAGATCAAAATTTTTTGAAAATCTCTGGTTACATCACAAAATCACATAAAAATCTGTAGTCATGTCATAAAATACTATGGAGGGCGAAGAGCGCCGCCAGGAAAATCCCGTCATGCGGTTCCATTAGCACAAGCGAACACTCAAATATTTAGAGACGTTCACACATCCTCGTTTGGTGAGCAAACTGTCAACATTGGAAGATCATAATCACATGCAAAACGGCTTCTTCGACCATTCCAACGCTCAGCGGAAAAGACGTGGCCATCACGGTTCACGAAGCAGCGCAGTCAGGGGCGCAGTTGCACAAAATAAGTTTGGGGGGAGGGGGGCTGAACAGTGTAAAGTTACCCTACCTTTCCTCAAATATGTCGACAAATAGGTTTCTCCCAGATTCGGCTCACTTTGTTCTCAAAATTGGGGAATGGGCTGGAGCCCCCCCCCCCCAACCGAAAAGGAAACCACACTCCTGAGCGCAGGACTGGTTGCCTAGAACTGACCTGGCCCTGATATGTCTTGCCCCAGCCGGCGATGCTGGCCTCTTCGTTGACATACTGGTCCTCCAGCTCGAGAACGGTGGGCAAACAGATCGGCTGGATGTAGTCTGTGAACGTTATGTTCTCGGAGAGCCTGCAGAGAACACCGTTGACAAGTCACGGCGTTGCCACTTGGGGAGGGCGCCGGGGCGGATCCAGAAAGGGAGGGCGTAGTGTCTTGCTCTCCCTTGTGATCCAAACGAGTCTACAGGCTCCAAAGAGGCCAATAGCCAGCCCAACAGGCGCAGCTTTTTCACCCAAACGCAACAAAATTGGACGTCTTTGGGCTTCCAGACGACCATGAACAATCGCAAACGAGTGAAAAGGGACCACCAGTAGACAAAACGTATTCTTTTCTGATTGAGAGGGTGGTGATTAGGGGAAGATATTAAGGCTCATGACGCTGTCCAGAGGCCCTACGCTGTTTCTGGGGGCCTATATGTCCACTTGCAGGGTCAATCCAATCGGTAAGAAGACTTCACGTTGCCCTTTGATTTATTTGCTTTCGCTCAGAGGTACCTGCGCTGCTGCTGGGCCCTTCCTGCTAAAATGCCGGCGCACTCTTGCCAATCAGGGGCCTTCCACAGATTCATTCCATTCGTCCGAAAGGCTCTATCGCTGTAGCCGGGGCCACATATGTTAACCTACCGGGGTATTCTCGATGGCTCAGGGGCTTCCCACGTTGGTCTCGGTTAACTTACCGACGCGCTCACGACATGCTCATGGGCCCTGTACATCGGTCCAGGGCCCTTCCGATTCTCTGTCGCTTAGCGCGCTACGCTCTCGTTGGGGACCCCATCTGTTAACCTGTTCGGGCACACTGGATTGTTTGGGGGTCCGGCAAATTGGATTTTGGTATTTGCATGTAAGCCCTACGCTCCTGTTGGGGGCCATCTGACAGCCTGCTTGGGTACACTCGATCTTTCGGGGGCCCCGCACACTGGGTTTTGGGACTTCTTATTCGCATGGAAGACCCTACACTCTTGTCTGGGTCCTACATGATAACTTCAGTGGACACACTCGACCGTTCGAGGGCCCTCTACATTGGGTCGTGGATATTTTGTATTTGAACGGAGGGCACTACGCTCATTTCGGGAGCCCTGTCTGATACCCAGCCATGGCACACTCGATCGTCCGGAAGCCCTCCACATTGTGTCTTGGGTACTTCTTATTTGAATGGATGACCCTATGTCCTTGTCGGGACATAACATATTAAGCTGCTCGGGCCAGATTTAAGGGGAAGGAGCATGAAAGCATGCTCTTTGAGCTCAAAGGGGACCCATAAGCTCTAAAGGGACCGATAACCAGCTGAATGGACACCATTTTTTATATAAAACATAACAAGATTGAACGACTTTGAGCCTCCAGACAACCAAGAACAGTCGCAAGCGACAGTGAAGAGCCCGTGAGCAGTCAAAGTTGTTTTTTTTTTGCTGATTGAGAGGGTGGTGATTGGGAGAAATTTTGGCTCGCTGAGCTGTTCAGAAGCGGTATGCTGCTGGCGGGCCCTATACGCCTACTTGGCGGGCCAATCCGAGCGCTAACGAGCATCCCACGTTGCCCCTAATCTCTTTGTGTTTTCTCGGGGAACCCCACGCTGCTGTTGGTGCACTACCTGCTAACATGTCTTGGCGCTTTTCATCGATCAGGGGCTCTCCCCGCTCTTCCCATGCACCCGAAAGACCCAACACGCTTTTGCTGGGGCCCCACATGCCGGGGTACACTCAATTATTCAGAGGCCTTTCAAATAAACCTTGGATTTTTTCTACTGTGCTGTTGCCGGGGCCCATATGAGGTAAGGCACTGGGCCACTCGCTGCTCAGGGGTCCTCTACATTGATCTAGAGCCATTTCTCTTTGATCTCTTTCGCGGGGCACCCTTTACTCCTATCGGGGCCCTATCCGTTGACCTGCCCAGGCACTCTTGACCGCACAGGGGCATTAATTCACGTGCACTGGTCTCGGGTAATTCCCCTTCACCCAGAGGACTTTGTGCTTGGGCCGGGGCCTGATAAATAAGCCTGCCGGGGTACTCCCGATCGTTTAGGGACCCACCACGTACATCTCGGGTTCTTATTGTTTGCTCTGAGGATCCTATACTTGTTGACGGAAGCCTCTTTGTTGGCCTGCCGCGGTACCCATGATCCATCAAGCTCCGCCCCTATTCGCCTTAGTGCCTTAGCCTTAGGGCAGCAGTGGAATATGCGCCGATGAATTCTTAGGCGCAACGTGGTATGTGTCAATGCCGTTGGTTATTGAATCTGTGACATCTAATATACTTGTGCATCACGTTTTTAATACAGTTTCAACGCCAAGATATTTTGTACTCCTTCATACGGCAAAGCAAAACTTTGAAGTCTTCATCAGCCAGTCAGCTGATGACATCGACTAGCCGGCTAGCCGTAAATAAGCTAGGAATCAAGTTCATGCCTGATTTTGATGGCATGAGTAGCCACCTTTAATTTATGCTGTCATGTTCTTCCCGAATACTTAGCCTCAAAATGATAGGATTTGCCATAATCTGTGGAAAATGAAAAAGCTCCATGTATGTGCATACGTAGCACGCCTAGTTTTCTAGGGTCGCGCACAGTAAAATGGGTTCCGGTTAAAAAAATAACGTACCGAGAATCTTAACATGTCATGGCCGAAATGCGATAATCTGTTTGGAGGAGCACTTAACTGTAGGGAGCCCCACAATGTTGCGTGCCCCCCCCCCCCTTCCCTCCCGCTTGACGAAATCCTGGATCCGCCCTTGGGAGGCGGCCGACCAAAAGCAGACACTTGAAATAATTCAAAGGGACTTTTCTTCGAACAATAAGCGCATCTACCAATCTGACCCGTCAGGGAAATGAGCCATCGCAACTCGGAAAAGTGAGCAATCAGACCTGAAAGGAGCCAAACGCGCGTCGGGCAGCTGCTCGAACAACGAACTCAAGCACAGCCAACGAGCCAGCCAACAGAGCTCTCGTTAACCAATCACCAGCCCGCCAGAACAAGCGGCACTTTTCCTCACTCGATCAGACCGATGTCGTGTTCACGATTGTACTTGTGAATGCCCCACTGGGGGTGCTGGCGGAACCGGGTGGCGTTAGCGATGAAGGACGTTTCGCCCGGTAGGCTCACGTCCAGCGTTCCTAGCCGGAGCTCCGACCAGACGGCTTGCTCCAGGCAGTGGGCCGCCGTGAGCAGGAACCGCCGGCTGATCAGGGTGGCCGCGCAGTACAGCTGTCGGCGGGGTCACACGGATCACATAGGGGGCACGTGGGGGCCAGCTATGAGTTGTCTGATGAAGATGAGGGTGGAGGCGCGGTACAGCCGCCGGCGGAGCCATGAAGGGCTACACGGGTCACGCAGGGTCAGATGTGTACCGATCTCTGTGAGGGTACGAGGGCAATACAGTACACAGCAGGGTCACACGGAGTCACGCAATCGTCAGGTGTGTGCCGCCGCTTGGGAGGGTGGAGGCGCAGTACAGCAAACAGCGGGACCACATGGGTTTACGCTTGTGTCAGGGTTGTACCGCCTGAACATGAGTGGGGCAGGAAGCACAGCTCCGCAGACTGACAAGCGTGACACAGCAAGCAGACAAGCGTGACACAGCAAGCAGACACGTGTGTCACAGCGACCCCACTGCGGGGACATATTAGGCCACACATGAACTGTTTGCTGACGAGCGTTGTCACGTCACACCGCTCCCGCCGGCGACACACGGTGTCGAAAAGGTCACACAGAGGTCGCACTATGGCAAGTGCGGTCGAAACAGAAGCCACGTGTGATATACGTTGCCATGTCGTGCAACAGCCGGTGGCGTCACGGGGGGGGGGGGGGGGATGCAAGCTGAGTCGCCCGGATTCACACCCCAGACGGGTTGGTCACCCAGGGGTCGCACAGAAGCCACCCAGTCAGGTCACGCACGAACCGCAGGGAGTATTGTCTGGGTCGCGTTATTGTGCTCAGAAGCTATAATAGACATATTGACAGTGTTGCTAGAGTTACCGACAGCAAACATCTTTGGCTGCCTAGTGTATGTTAGCACGTTGACAAACCGCATAGCTTTGATGAAAAATGCGACTCCGCATTTCAAAAACTGACGGACGCATTGCCGGCGGTGACTTAACTGCGTTAGGCAAAAAGAAAAGCCCACAAACACATGGCATTGTCAGCATAGGCGGACGGCGGTATGCAGGTTAGCATGCTGGTATTGAATTACAGCGAGGGTTCCAGGTACGATTTAGAATCAAATTTAGACACTTGTGACGACCTACATATGCACACATGAGCACATAAATGGGTTAATAGGTACCGTAGAGCCTATATATACATATATATATATATATATATATATATATATATATATATATATATATATATATACATATACATATATATATGTGTATATATATATACATATACATATACATATATATATATATATGTATATATATATATATATATATATATATATATATATATATATATATATATATATATATATGTGTGTCGATCAATCCCAGAGATCCGGCCATAAATATATATATATATATACATATATATATATGTATATATATATGTATATATATATATATATATATATATATATGTATATATATATATATGCATATATATATATATATATATATATATATATATATATATATATATATTATGGCCGGATCTCTGGGATTGATCGACACACCGCACAAGGCGGAACCAGCGCTCTTTACATGAGCATCTGGCCGTGCGCCAACCGTAGCGGCGCGACATCCACCAGCCATTTGGAGACCTCCGCACACTCAACATTTGGAGACCACCGACCAAACAATATTTTCCAGCACCCCGCATTTGAAGTGGGCAATCATTTCCGTCTTAGCCGGGGGCGCCTCTTCCTGGGGCCATCCGGATACGTAACCGATGTTCAGCCCTTCACAAGCCCGGCTGTTTATCTGGGGCACCGATGCCGGGCCTGTCAGCGCCGCGCCTCGTGGAAACGGGGCCAGAAATGCGCCTCTCCACCAGTCACCCTAGGGGAAACTGTGCGCTCGAGCCAGTGAGAACGCCAGAGTTGCTCAGCGACGGATCGGACGGAGGGCGACTCCAGCCAGAGAAGTGGACGATTGGGCGGGGGGCGACTCCAGCCAGAGAAGTGGACGATTGGGCGGGGGCGACTCCATCCAGAGTAATGGACGATTGGGCGGGGGGCGGGGGGGGGGGGGGCGGGGGGGGGGGCGCCTCCAGCCAGAGTAGGGGACGATCGGGCCGAGGGCGATCCCAGTCAGAGAAATGAACGATTCGGAAATGAGGGCGGCACGACCCACGAACGCCAAACCGCACAGTTATAAAGTATGGCGCAAGGGGGGGGGGGGGAGGAGGGAAGAGGTCTGCGACAGTGGCCGCAGACTAGCGTCGGGGGAACTAACCATTTAGCGTCGTAAGAGCTGCCAACCATCACGCAGCGAAACGCCGTGAGCGGCGGCCGCCAGCGAAGGATTTATGAGCGGCCCCCCGTGGGCCAGACCCAGGTGCGCGCGGTCCAAAGGCATGAGTCGTCACCGTGGATGTCAGACATGGGAGCGATTCGTCGTCCGGTGTCCACGTGTCGACGGTTGGCCCAGTGCCCCCGTCGACGTGCCGGGCTGGTGACAGTTATGGTCCGGAGTCGACAGTGGGTTCATAGGCAGGCCGACTCCATGGTCAAAAATCGGAGGAACACTTCGCAAGGCGCGCGAAGCCTACTGCTCATTTTTCCGAGAAGGGGCATCGAGGAGAGGGGTTGGTTGGTTTTCAACTTTTGCGTGTGTTTTGTGTAGGGGGGGGGGGGGCTGAGGGGGGGGGGGCGTATAAGTTCTGCTGCGTTGTCTCGGTCATTCACACTCCATTTGTAATCAGATCACCGTTAAGAAAGGGCAGAGAATGGCACTATGGCTAATAGTGCACAACTGTGCACGGGGACAAAGCTGTGCGACGTGCGGCGTGCGTGACCAACCACGGGTGTCGGCTTGCATTTTTTGGGTAGGCCACTACCCCCCCCCCCCGCCCCCAATGTGCGATTTAATCCCCCACAACGGTTTATTTGGTCCCCAACTTCCTGGAGCGAAAGTACAAGCAGGGAATTACAAATGGATAATCAAAATCATATCTAATATAAAGAATGCTTCTTCTAACGGTTTCGCAGGCAAAAGGAACAAGGAGAAAGAAAACTGCAGTGTCAAAACTGAGTGCTACGTTGTAGCCTGCAGCCTGCCCTACGGCTACCAGGGGGTTTTCAAGACAGCCTTTAATAGTTGCGCACACCAACTTACTCTCTTCTCTCCCAAAGCCGAGCACGTCCAACGACGTCTGGAGCCACATAACGTGAGCGTTCGTGAGCATGACTTCCAGATATAACGGCCGTCGATAGGCTCTCAACCAATGTTATGCAAAGTACGATGACAATTCAAAAATGACGTTTTGAGGAGCATATTCACTAAGCAGAAAAACTGTGTTGTCTCGTGCAATCTTTTTCACTTGAAAATATACATATAGTTTTAAGTGAGCTTATTTTATCATATCTGATACTTAATTCAATATCTCCAAATATGAAACGTGTCCTTTAAGAAGCGCGGGGCTGTAAACTGCACGGAATAATTTTTGAAGCGACCAGTTCAGTTCACAACTCCACACAAATGTGGAACGTTTCCTTTAATGCCTTCCAATGCTCTATTGAACCCACAGTCCCCAATGTATCTGAGCAAAAAAGGAAACACTGGGCAAATGAAAGACAGCTAGTGTCTGAACTGTCCGTGTAGTGGCTCCTAAACGCACCACTGTCCAAATCATGATCTTCGTACATCATCATTATCACTGTCACATCGGCTTCCAAACGTAAGTCATTCTCCGGCATGAAAACAAATTTGGAACCGGCCAAATATTTCTGAAGATAATTTTGACAACAGAAATGAAAATCAAGGCAGTCACAATCAAGAGCGAATTAAAGATTTGTGGGTGGGTTAGGTCAACTTTATTGGCTCAGCCCCCAAAACCCATTGTATAAAATTATGCCCTGCATGCATCCTTGACCAGGAGCAGCACATGAAACAAACTACAGAAAAATCGCAGTCTTAAAAGCAAGAAAACCGGTGGCCGTGGTTGCAGTTGCCATAAAATCGAGCGACGTTAGCAGACCAACACCGGGCGGCGGGCGCCTGCGGCGCGAGAACAGCTGTCGTGGCAAGTCTTTCAAAATGAATTCGTACCGTTCAAAAACTACACTGGAGCGTAAATTTCACATTTCAAATGCCGAAAATGTCTAATGAACAGATGTAAAGCGGCAGAAACAAGAAAAGAGTGATTTTATGCTGACGTGTCAAATTTCTCCAAATTCCGTTACTGGTTCGCAGCGCTGTGAATGCTTATCCGTTCCTATTGCAAATATATAGATTGCACAGGTGAAACATGCTCCCGGATTACCTTCGAAACGTTCGAACTGGCATCTTAAAGCGTTCAAAAGTACTTATTTTAGAAACGTTGCCATTTTCGTCCACTCACCTGCCTCCACCTATTATCAACAAGGGAGCCGACACCGAGCTGCGTACGGAGACTGCCACGCCCACCATCGGGGTTTTGTTCTCAGGCTTAAGAACTCGTGTGGTCAAACTTATGTTATGCTATTCTTCTACTTCTCGATTCAACAAAGGTTGAAGATTTCCAGACGAACGTTGTCACTGAGGAGCCAGCTCAACTAGCAACGTTTCTTAAATCAACACGAATAGAGCGTGACATTGACATCATGGTCGTTGCATTTGTCTTACATGCGAGCTAAAGCGGGTTAGAGTTGTTTTCTCCTCAGTGGCAAAACAGCTTAGAACAGTTTCTCCCTGAATTACAGCTGGCCGCGATGCGTTCTTGATGAGGTGAGCGGGGAAATGTATTATCGAGAGGAGGGCATATGCTTAAGCGTTTTGGGAAGAGCTTGAGAACTATTTTCTGAAATTGTGCGAGGAGTGCCCATGTTTTGTTTCACACTTACTGAAATGTTCATGGCTTATCCATGAAAATTTTTCGGAGTGTCGCGATTCTTCATGTGAACGAGATGCCATGACAAATATAGGTATCGTGGACCATATTCTCGAGAATACATAAACATATATACACAGCATTGCAGGCGCTGAGAACGGTATTTTGTACGCGAATTTCACGTTTCAGGGCACAAGTGAGAGGTGTTATTGTACTCCTGCAGCTTCACAAAACAAGTGCGTTTGTGCAAAACTGATGCAAACTTCCAGGGTTACGTATGGGATTGCTGTGGCTACGGACATGACGTCAAAAAACTGTGGTAAGTGTGGCATATATATATATATATATATATATATATATATATATATATATATATATCCATAATGGCTAGGCGGAAACCAAGAACATATGCGGACTCTATCCGTTCTTTGTATCTGTCCCCTTATGACGACTTCTAAAACTCCAGCCCCGCAATCGTTTTGAAAAATCGACGCCCATATGACCGAACCTACCACTCCCCCTCCTGCACAGCCCTGCCACTCTGCCCACCGACTACTAGCATCACTGCTCCGTACCTCACGTCTGTGTGCTGGCGTCGTGCACACTTATGTCCTTACCATGTCGAACCCACGCGGTAACATCATCTGGCTCGCCCGCAACACCAACGGCCGCCTCAAACAGACATCGCTCTGGGGAGGAGGCATGCGCAGAGGCGCCTCCAGCCTCGGGACGAGAAGTGCGCAGAGGCGTCAACAGCCTCGGGGTGAGGCATGCGCAGAGGCGCCCCCAGCCTCGGGATGAGAAGTGCGTAGAGGCGTCAACAGCCTCGGGGTGAGGCATGCGCAGAGGCGCCCCAGCCTCGGGACGAGAAGTGCGCAGAGGCGTCAACAGCCTCGGGGTGAGGCATGTGCAGAGGCGCCCCCAGCCTCGGGATGAGAAGTGCGCAGAGGCGCCAACAGCCTCGGGGTGAGGCATGCGCAGAGGCGCCCCCAGCCTCGGCATGAGAAGTGCGCAGAGGCGCCAACAGCCTCGGGGTGAGGCATGTGCAGAGGCGCCCCCAGCCTCGGGATGAGAAGTGCGCGGGGGCGCCAACAGCCTCGGGGTGAGGCATGTGCAGAGGCGTCCTCAGCCTCGGGGTGAGGCATGCGCAGAGGCGCCCCCAGCCTCGGGATGAGGCGTGCGCAGAGGCGCCCTTAATGACATAATGAAACCCCCCTTGCAAGAACGCGTACACCGGCTACCGGTGCCGAAGGTTACAATCCAGCCGGGCAGCTGAGGGCGTCCCGTATCGCTATAGTTACACTGACCATAAAATGTGTCACAGGGCTCTTTTCACGCAAGGAAGGGTATGCTATATTTCATACACTATATCTATTCCATGCGTCAAGGTACATTATCTTAGCTCATTCCTTTGCGAGCTGTGTGGTTTACGTTAACCTGTCGGGACTACCGGAGTGCCCCCCCCCCCCAGGGTGTCGGGGAAACGGCGACCTAATTTTGATCGGCCAAGATCATTTGATCTGTCTCAACAATATTTTGATATGGAAAGGCCAAACCTAAATAATGGGACATTGCAGCTCAGATGAAAATTCCGAAATATTACATATTTTTAAAGGTTGCTGTGTCCATGTTTAGAACCCAACGTCCAAAAGTACTTCAGCTAGTAATGAAAGGGTCTCCTACGGGTGTAAAAAAGTGTCTTCTTTTTAGCCTTAAGTGCATTAGGAGAGGCTCAGGCTAGCATTGGGGAGGGGCTCAGACCCCCTCAAAGTGTGCAAAGCGACAACCCTAGTAGCCAGGTTGTAGCCATGGGGGAGGGGGCATAGGGGCATGCTCCCAGGGAGAAGGAGCTTACGCTACATACTGGAGCAATGCGAAGGAATTCTGCCTAAACTAGTAGCATTCTGCAGGTAATTTGACAATTGCTCTGAGGATAATCGTGGATACGTACCTGGTTGGGAAAAGGTACAAGAAAAAATGCACATGCAATGCACCAGCGCTCATACCATTCCTCAGCATATAAGTACAGCTCGGACAGAGCAGTCTCAGCGATTATGATGCATATCGCTCTGTAAATGTATCAGCCGTCCTCATTTTGTAACAAAATGCAACGAAAGTGTGCCTGACAACCTTGTGTTTCAAATTCCGTCGCACAGCAAATTACCTACCAAAAAAAACGGAACAAAAAACAAAAAACAAAAAACGACGGTCCGAAACCGTCTCTGCGCAATATTGTCTCTCTGAAATATCGTTAACTAATTTACCTTTGTGATTGCACCTTGCCCTACATATCTTCTGCAAGTATTGTGTGGAAATTTCGGGCACTGAGCATGCGCAGGGGCGGTTTCAGAGCGAGCTGTATTTGGGGAGCCTTCAGGTGAAATTTGGCGATGATGCTGAAAGGATAATTTCTCCGGCACGGCATTTTCATTCCCATGACATCCGGTATCCCCGGCGGCAGCACTGTTTGGCGGTTACATGGGGCATTGATACTGCTGGTGAATCAGACAGCTGTCAATTGAGTGAGGGCATTGCCATATTGTAAAATTCGTATGGAAGAAGCGATTGCTTGGGTCGAAAAAATGTGCTTCCAAATCATATGAAATGTATTACGTGTCGGCAGTGCAGGTATGCAAGGTATGCATTTCGCTACCTAGCTGCGATGTTTTGCACATCACACAATAATCACACGCATAAATGATGCATGCGGTAATACAGGCGTGTTCAGATCTTGCAAAAGAGGTGAATAGGGACATGGCCCCACAATTATGTCACGTCTCCATTGCTAGAACACTAATAAAACGCAACGTGTCCCGGCCTTCCCTAGCCATCACACACACGCACACGCATACGCACACGCACACACACACACACACACACACACACACACACACACACACACACACACACACACACACACACACACACACACACACACACACATATATACTATATAATATATATATACTACTATACTATATATATATATACATATCAGACGACACTCAGCTCCATGCCCTACATAGGAGGACACGCTTTCAAAGTTGCATGCCGGTAACGCCTTACGATGTATAAAAGTCGAAATTCGGAAACATGGCATCTGACATGATGCATTACCAGGGTCATTTCCAGGCTCGCTCTGGCAGGAAAACATGAAGACCTGGCACCGTTCGGACAACGGCGAAAGAAGCCCGGCGGCAATAACGGCAGGAAAGCGAGGCAAGCCACCACAAGAACAAACCAAGGGGAGGCAACAGGCGTGTCTGGTCCGCCAAAGACAATAAGGAAAGCAGGAATTTCACATGCACATGCCTTCGCCCCAAGCTTCAACGTTAGATCCGCCCATTGCCCGCCGTTGAAATTGCGCTCGTAACGACCGAAAAGTATCATGCTAAGAGCCCCCAGCACTTCCCTCCTTCTTCGTCAAAGGGCCCAACTTTCCACCCGGAAACGGTGCGGTATCGGGACGTGACCGTGGCCGCCGTCGGCGCCGCGCGGCCCGGGCGGTCCCCTGGCTGTTACCCGCCGGGCCGCGGTCCACGTGCTCCGGGGTTCGTCACACCTGGCCGCACGCTTCGTTCCGCCGCCCACTGCACGGGGCCGCTAACGCGCCGCGATGACGTCGCCACCGCAGTGACGTCACACCGTCGTCGCGGCACGCGCGAGCGCTCACCTTCTTGTTCTCGGCGGTGCGCGTGACGACGTAGACGACGAACGGCACCTCGCCGAGCTTGGCGTTCTTGCCGTCGACGATCCGGTGCACGCGCGATCTGCCGCAGTCTGCGGCAGCACGCACCGACGCTCGTGATGGTGACGACATGGAGGGAGGTACGACCGAACACGTGGCAGACAGGCACGAGACCGCTCCGTCCACGCGCCGCGTCACGGGAGATCAGCCGCCGACTGTCTGCCCGCGATTTTGGCGTGAGATTGGACGATTGGAGTAGTTGGATTGGGTAGTTGGATTAGATTGGGTAGTCTGACATGTTGCGGATGTACGAATATGCGACAGCGGTTTACCTGAATGACGCCCTGAGGGCTGAAACCATCACCTTCATCATCGTTGAAGATTCTGAACGGATGGAAGTGTAATGCACGCGTGGCCTTTGCCGGAGTAGGGGTACCTGGTGCTGCAGCTCAATGTGAAAATGCAATATTTAGGTCATGGAGCAGCGTTTGGAACCAAAAGCCACGACATTAGTTGTTCTCATCCAATCGTAATTTGATCATTCAACACTTACTCGTCGCACGAACGCTTTGTCTAAATCATTCCGTGAAGATGCATCTACTTTTTGCTGTGACAGAAGAGTGCGCAGTCTGCCGCACACCGCCCCGGACGGTTGGTGTTTCAGTTCGGTGAAATCGCAGGCAGTACCTTTCGTAGCCTTCGTGATCCGGCTCAGTTTTGAAGTCTCCCTATTGTCCGCGGATGGATCCGATTCGGGAACAAAGCAGCATCTGTCAAACCATGCTCCGTCCAAATAGTTCAGACTGCTCTGGTGGTGGGCACGCCTCATTCGTGGCTTTCCATAATCCCAAATTCTAATGCAAACGGTGGCCGGCCATATTTCGCTCCCGTGACGCGCAGTGCATCACACATATGCTGAAGCGAAGGCGTCGCTGATCGAGGACGTGTGGGTCTGGCCGTCGCGGGGCGGGAGCTGCTTTCACTCGCGTTGTCGGCGGGCTGGATGGACATACACACGCCGCTCGGTCCAAAACTGAGCCACAAGCACGTAGCGGAACCCAGTTGACAGCGTCGAGTCCAGGCATTGCAGCAGCGCCCGACTGGGTAGCGTGCGATAAAGCGGGGCCCTTCAGGTCAAATCGCCATTAGAGCTTGTGAGCTCGAGTTCTAAGAATGCCAGCTTTGCGTGGTATTGAAAGGCGGTTTTGGTACGCACGTACCGAATGTTGTGTTGGTTATCAGGTTCAATACAAAAATACTTCCACCTGAGGCTGAGCAATATCACCGTGTGCCAGCTGAGCCCATCTAGCTCGAAAATGTCATAAAGCTGTCAAGTGACCTGCGTGCTTAAAAACGGTCAAAGTATATTGATCTCGTGCTCAGATTTACCACTTATGGACGATGAGCAGCGACAAAACAACATTTATCGCAAAGTAGAGCTCAAAATTTCCAGAGAGGACGTTATAGTTCAGTACAAGACACGCCCGGGGCCGGTTTTGAAGGAAATCAAGGACCACCGTCGCCTCATGCGTCACACGCGTCATATGCGTCACCTCATCGGTGATGCCCCATTTCACGGACCCGACATTCATAGCTCTCCCGTCGCCTTGGCAGCAACACTTATGGTTGCATCCAACCATTGCCCGAGGCGCATTAATGTCTTGACTTTTGATTTGTTGGACCTTACGCGATACGCGTTGTCATGGAGCAAGCATGACCATGAGAGCGCCGTTATCACCTCAGCAGCAGCAAGTTTAAAAACGGCTCAATACCGCGGCCAACGATTGTAGATATATGCGAAATAAGCATGGCGGCTGAACCCTTCAGAAGTGATGTGTTAAAGATCTCCGTTCTGGCGTTTGCGCGAGAACGACACAAATAAGACGAGTTATGCTGTAGGTATCGGGGAAGGAAAGCTATGTAATTTTCCACCTCTCCCCAGCAGTCACGTGCCGAGAGATCTCGACAAGTCCTCTGTGGAGAGCGGCGGGCGTCACTGGTTTGGCAATGGTGCGAACACCGAACTAATGGCATGCATCCTCTTTTCTACTCACTAACAAAGCATAAAGGAAACTCACGCGCTTCCCAAGGTTTGCACTTCTACCCGGGAGACGGGAGGACAACAAGAAGCGACAGTGAACACTCATCGCGCGCCGATGGAAGAAAGCCACGCGTTGTTGACGCCCTACTGAAAAGCACCAGTGTGCTACTTCAGCCTCATGACACTCCAGCCAATCCGGAGGATGACCCGGTGTAGAATGCAAATAACGACGGAACATAGCGACATGCCAACGCCGTACTTAGTGATGCCGGGGTGCTAACTGCCAATTAAAAACAAACGGCCAGTGTTTACCTGTCAAGCCCGTCGTTTGAACGTCTCGAATTGGTTTAGATAGACCCACACTCGAACAAATATCTACCAATCCGTCTCCGTACCCGCGTTCCAGGATGTCTAGGCGCGCAGGCACGCTCCTTCCCCTCCCGGTGCCGCCGTGTGACCAGCCTCGAGCCGTGACCCGGCGACCCCTCGCGCTGACCTCTGCTCTCCTTGTGTCGGAGCGCGCTGAGCTGGCGGCCGCGGCGGCTGTCCGCGTCCAGGCCGCGGGCCATGCAGCTGTAGCCGCGACGCTGCAGCAGGTAGTTGGCCGAGAACTCGAGCGCCACCTCCTCGCCGGGCGCTCCCTCGACGCTGAGTGGTGCCGTGTCGCACTGGAACCACTCGCGGCCGTACACCATCCCGCGGCCGGGCAGCGTCAGAAAGTCGCCCCAGAAGCGCCAGTTGAGCCACGGCACCACAAGCGAGTCGAGGTCGACGTCGGTGCAGACCAGCGAGACGGACGTGTTGGCGCTGTCCGGCCGCAGTCGGTGGCGCTGGCAGGCGCCGCGCGGGTACGTCAGCGGGTAGTTGTCCGAGCTGAGGTGGAGCGCCCGGCCCTGGTCGACGCCCAGCACGCGCGGCTCGCACGCGCCCAGGCCCGTCAGCGGGAAGATGGCGCGTGCCGACGGCGCGCCGGCGAGCAGGATCTGCGGACATGGGACGACCGGTTGACGCGCGCCGGGGTCAAGGGCTTGTGCGGAAGCGGGCGCCGATAGACGTGCGCCGCGAACGGCTGGATGCGAATGGAGGAGCAGGAGAGCGTATAAGCGCGGGCGACGGTGGGGTGCAACAGTGCCCGCCGGACGTACTCATCGCTCGCACTTTAATGCAGTTTTGTCATATGTGGATCTGTGTGGGTCTCACATCCTTCGATTTGCGGCAAAACTGCGTTGTAAATTGCGAAATATGTTTTCAACGCCGCGTGGGAAGAGCTCAACTAGCCAATTTGTAAACTGCATAATACATTTCCGAACAAAACGATGTTTTCAAAATCACGCGTTATCATGGCATCATTTGGCGCTAGGACGTGAAATAACCGATACCTTTCCGAGTAGATATTGCCGTACGGCCCTGCAGGGTCATTTTTAGAATATGTGTACCAAGCTAAAGCTTAGCAGATCTCCGCCGCCAACCCCGCGTGCCCGGCAATTAATCGCAACGATCCGCCAGTCATGAGCGGCCGCGCCGCCAGGACCGCGCCGTCCGCCAGGAACACGGACAGGAACTCCGACCGACACTTTTACCAACCGCTGCCCGTCCTCACGGGCCACGCGGCCGGGGAGGGGGAGGGGAAGGTAGTTACGAAGCGCGTTACTGTGACCGTCAGCCCGACGGTCCGCTGGCGCCGAAAGTGAACCCGGCGCCGGCGCGGACGACGCTGGCGCGGCAGCGACTGGGGACCGACCCGGCCCGTGCGACTACAACACGCGTTTTGCTGGAGACGATTTCGCCGGCCAGACACGCAGCAAGGTATCTGATCTGAATCACGTATTAATCTCACCAGCGTCGGGAAAGCCACGCTGATAATCAATGGGGCTCGATCATGTTCGGGCTTAATACGGGATGTGCATCAATCCTTGACTATGATGATCATCAGTGATAAAATGCTAAGCCATATTCTGGATAAGACCATGAACATTCACACCAGGCGCAGCAGGTGTCACCACAGGCGTCGCACGAACACGCCAGGGCGTCATCGGTGATCAGCTGTTCGAACTGAAGTGGGACGCCCGTCCCTGGCTGAAGCCGGACACGAGCGGCTCGCAGCCGCCCGAGCCCGTCATACCCAACAACCCAACATACATGTATATATTCATCGGTTAGGGCAGAATTTCGGCCGACCGTAATGATGAGGGTGATGATAAAGGATGGATGACAAGTGAAAAACCTTTCAGAACTACCTGGGACCGACTGATTTATGGGTCTTGGAATGAGAGAGGGGGAACTTGACTCAGACGGATATGCTGTGTCGCCCATACCGAACGACTGCATGCAAGGGCTGATCCTAGTAGCTCTACTGTACCATTCGAACCACCTTGGTGACCTCAGCGCCCCACAGAGCGGTCCGGTCAGCGGTGTCCAGCCCATTGGTATCCGAGCGCTCGTCAGTGGCAGGACACGCCGGTATCTGAGCGCTCGTCAGTGGCAGGACACGCCGGTATCTGAGCGCTCGTCAGTGGCAGGACACGCCGGTATCTGAGCGTTCGTCGATGACAGGATACGCCGGTATCTGAGCGCTCGTCAGTGGCAGGACACGCCGGTATCTGAGCGCCCGTCAGTGGCAGGACACGCCAGTATCTGAGCGCTCGTCGACGACAGGATACGCCGGTATCTGAGCGCTCGCCGATGACAGGGCATGCCTGTACGACCACCTCCACGTGGTAAACGTTTACATTGTTATACGTGTGAAGAGCTGCCTCGCCCTTCCACACAGCTGGTAAACGAAACGCAGTCTGTGCAAAGATGAAACGACATTTGACCACCGCTCGATGTCCGCGCGTCTGGCTGTGGCTGAAAGGTACGGCAGGCGGTGATACATACGCTTACCTTAAAACTTCGGCAGGCGGTGTGGTATCAGCCTGAGCGAACTATCGCAGGGTAAATTTCGTTTGAACCATGATGATACTTTTCTCACATCTTTCACATTAATATCCATTTGCCTTTCCATGGCATCGCACGAGTCTTTTCCGCCGTTGTCTTATGAGCTGGTCATACTTGCATTTCACTCCGCTATAAGAGCACCATTGTAGAGTTTTGCGTGTTTAGAGGTTGGTGCACTACAGCTGATTATGGACCCCTTCGTAACGTTTAAACACATGAAGAACTAAAAAGTTCAAACACATTAGGAACTAAATGGCAATGATCAGACAGAAAATCAAAAACACGGCAAAGCGATTATTCCCATGCTGTAACTGCATTTTTATATTTTGTAACTGCGTTTGGATATGTTTGCAAACTAAAAAAAACACCTTAGTTCATAACAGCAGGCAGTCTATTTTGGAAGGGACAGTAATAGGATAAGCGACAGCCGGTACCAACTACCTATTGCAACCGTGGCACGACGTAAAACCTATATTCCGCAAACTTGCTTGCAGAACACCAAGCAAGTATGGCTTGGGTTCAAGGAGCAATGCGAGTTATATGCAGATATCAACCATCCGTATAAAAGATCTTCACGAATGGGCTGAATCCACGAGAAGTACATGAATTATCGGTTTGGACTGCACAGAAAAGACCATTAAAAAAGTCAACAGTCCGGGATATATACTGGTAATCGATAGAGAGCAATACAGTAAATCCAGTACATCAAAACAACTAAAAACCTTGCGAAAAGCAAGGTGTTAACGCTGAATTTTACCTGATGCTGAAAGTCAGCGATCGCAACGGACTGCAAAACGCGTGGTCAATCCGTCAGCTGAGGAAGTGAGTGCATGCGCTCACGCAGACTACGCACCACTGCACGTGAAACGAAGCAGGGACGTATGGAATTGTGCCAGACTCTTGCGTGACGCGCTCTTATCGCACAAGCGGGATATATTTGGCATTCGTTGCAATGTGAAATGTCGGCGAGATGTGTTTTCAAAAGGTATGCATGGTTCCAAATGGTCCGTGATTTCCACGCCCGAATAATGATTCTGAAGAGGTCTAGCCTCCGCCTGGCGCCCGTCGCCACTGCCCCCAAAACACCGACGCGTTGCTGGCCGCGCCGCTACACAGCCGTCACGGTCCGCGGGAGCAGCGGAAACGGACCAGAGCTCACATGTGACGAGATGACGTCTACACGCCAAGTGAGATAGCCGGAATGCCGGAACAGTGCAGAGGAGGCAGTTGCGAACGCTTCAGTTGCCGAACGCCTTTTATCAGACGTCGCTCAACCACCGAGTGTTGGGAGAAAGTGGTCGTGCAGGGCGGGCTCCACTTTCTCCTGTGAACACGCAGGCCAGAACTAACATGTTGACATCTAGGAAATATTCTCGACAGTATCAACCATGCCATACTGCAAGGCTTTGCGATACATATACATGTGGTGCACGCAGGTGTTGCCAGGGACGTTTTCCGTTTCCCACGTTCATCAAATCTTGCGACCTCAGCAATTAAGGGCCTGGCCCACGAAGACGTTTGATTAGTTTTGATTTCTTAAGCTGACAATAAACAGCCTTGATTATACCAGGAGGCACTCGTAAGACGAGGTTATCAAGCAAACACTGGCTCTATTGCCAGAACCCTGCGTGTCAAGCCGCGCTCATGGTCACGAGCGTATCACGGACTGAAAGTCACGCCGCGCTCCGACGCTGCGTTTATTCTCCGATTAGGACTAATTATTGAGCTCTGATTACGAGATCACGTAAGTGACTCATAATGCTTAAAAAAACAAGGAGCTCAAAGCCTTTCTTGCTTGTGTCATGTAAAATTAACAGCATGTAAGGGTGAAGTATTGATACCTGATTAGCACGGCGTTGCCTTCGCAGCCCATTTGCTTCGTTGGTCGCAACATATTTGCAAAGCCTGGGTTTAAGCAGGGAGTCTGAGGTGGACCAGTGCACGATAATGGCAACAGCATTTTGGTGGTGATGTACTCCATGGCTGTGCAGCCCCTCGCTCCGAATAAAAAGGCACAAAAATGAGTTAGTTCCGTTAGTTTGAAACAATACCGATTAAAAACCATCATCTTTCCTCTCTTTCTCCCTCCCCTTCATTTCTCTTCTACCCTTATCGTCTATCCTTCTCTTCTTCTCCCTCCTGTCATCCTCATTTTTTTCTTAACTTCCTCTGCCCTCTTCATCTCCCTCTCTCCCTCTCCCCCTTCCCATTCCTCCATTTCCCCTCTCTCCATCTCTTTTCCTCTTCCCCTCACCTTCCCTGTCTCTGTCCCTGTCCCTGATCCTCTACCTCTCACTCCTCTCACTCCCTCTCCCCCTCTCTCTCTCCCCCTCCCTCCCTCTTTCTCCCTCATCTCTTCCTTCCCGCTCTCACTCACTCCATTTCTCTCTGTTCCTATCCCCTCCCTCCCCCTCTCTCCCCTCCTCTCTCTCTCCCTTTCCTCCTCTCTCTCCCTTCCTCTCTCTCTCTCCTCATCTCTCTCTCTCTTTCTCTCTCTCTCTCTCTCTTCTCTCTCCTCTCTCTCTCTCTCTCTCTTTCTTCTCTCTCTCTCTATTCTCTCTCTCTTCCGCCCACTTTCTCTTTTTTTTCTCTATCCTCTCTCCCCCTTCCCTATCTCTCTCCCCACTCTCTTCTCCCCCCTCCCCTTCTTCACCCCTCTTCTCCACCTCTTCTCTCCCTCCCTCTCACTCTCTCCATCCTCTCTCTGGCGTATAACGTCGTCTGCAACCCAGAAACGGCATCCGCTATGCTATGCCGCTGCACGAATAGCAATTAAACTACAACCATCTTTCATTTATATTCATCTGTTGGGTTATGTGAGATCTTTTGCTCGGCAGCGACCATATCAGAGCTTTGGAATGAAGCAAAGATATCAAATCAGTGTTCTAATATGGCCTTCCTGAGTCATATCTGACACGAAGACAGGCACCACAGAGGGAACACCAAACCAAAGTTACGCGAGTGTTCGAGATCGGCTCCCATCTACGGCGGCCGCGAGTGCTCGAGATCGGCTCCCATCCACGGCGGCCGCGAGTGCTCGAGGTCGGCTCCTATCCATGGTGGCCGCGAGTGCTCGAGAGCGGCTCCCATCTACGGCGGCCGCGAGTGCTCGAGATCGGCTCCCATCCACGGCGGCCGCGAGTGCTCGAGATCGGCTGCTATCCATGGTGGCCGCGAGTGCTCGATATCGGCTCCCACCCACGGCGGCCGCGTGTACTCGAGATCAGCTCCTATCCACGGCGGCCGCGAATGCTCGAGATCGGCTCCTATCCATGGCGGCCGCGTGTGTTCGAGATCAGCTCCCATCCACGGCGGCCGCGAATGCTCGAGATCGGCCCCTATCCATGGTGGCCGCGAGTGCTCGAGATCCACGGCGGTCGTGAGTGCCCGAGAGCGGCTCCCATTCAAGGCGGCCACGAGTGCTCCAGAGCGGCTCCGACACTAGGAACTGGTCGATTTCACGGAATTTTGGTCCAAATTCGCAGGATTTGGGAGAATATTTGACCTTTCCACATCCCCTTCTGAGGAAACCTCTGGCTACGTGCCTGGGTTATCTGCAGCGACCCTGTCATGTGAGAGCTAACCTTACATGCTGTTCACGTTGGGAGCTCCGTCCAAGCACCAGCACGAACCTGTTTCGTAATCTTCGTGCCGGGCCTGTTCCGGTGTCGTGCTGGGCCCGTGACGGTTGTGATGTCATCCCACTTCTACCCACTTCCCGCCGCTCCCGTTCCACCATCCTCAGTTCCAGAGCTCTTCCGTTGTCAGCCGAGGTCTAACCCAACCGAACGAACGCGACGATGTGGTGTACATCCTGCACACTGAACGTGCCTGCCACCAACGCGGCACAAGCGGGCGGCGACGGAGCGGAGGCCGCGCCGCGGGGAACGGACCTGCGCGAGCCGCCGCACCAGCCGCCCCGGAACGCAACGGCGTCTGACACGGACACACCACGTGACCGGCTAATTGCGCCACGTGCTCTGCTGTTGGGCGCAATGAATAACACGCTTGTGGCGTACAACAGGCTACATTGACTCTCCTTGCGCGGCTTAAAGAGTGCTGTGGCGATCATGTAACGTAAACGGTAGTATTTGCTACCGGTACATGTAATAACCTAAATCGTTCACTGCAGGCGTGCGGAAAAAAACAATTACAAGGGTTGCCCCAAGGTGCCCCATTCAAGTGAACAGTTTTGCGTGGCGATGTAGCAGCCCAAACGTCAATGTTTTGACCACACCTCTCCACCATCACGAGCCAGTGTACGCAATGCACCGTACTCATTCTCCCCATTCATCGTACTCATTACTCACCGTTGCTAGGAGAGAAAGCAGCATGGCCAGCTGTAGCTTGTCAAACGCCTGTGCTGCTGCGGGCGGTCAGAGGCCTGCCTCTTCGGAGGGCTCCTGCGCCGTCAGGGGTTAGGGGTTAAGAACGGGCCATTAGCAAGCGTCGCGTTTGTGGCCGCGCTGGCGCGTCTCTAACGACGGAATGTAACACTCGGGAGAGACGGCAATCAGCAGCCATACCGCACAAGCGTCGCGTTTGTGGCCGCGCTGGCGCGTCTCTAACGACGGAGTGTAACACTCGGGAGAGACGGCAATCAGCAGCCATACCGCACAGCCTAATGCGCTGTGCGGTTCTGCTGAGCGCCGCGACGCGGTGGTGTCGTGATGCCAAGGGGTCCGCACCACATGTCAGTCACATTTTGCGGAGTGGGAAAGTGACGAGAACAATGTGTTGAACTTTCGCCACATAGCGTCAAATGAAAATGAGTGGTCTTAATGCGGTGTGCTCGTGCCGGCATGCAAACCCGTTAAGGGTGTTTGCATTTTGAAGAATGGTCCAAGTGCGGCATACATATACGCCTTTTTTCGTTCATGTCAGTTGTGGGACACTTTGTTTAACGTTTCAGAACATAAGCAGAATGCATGTGGCATGTTTGAATTGCTTTCAGGAGGCAATATTGTCGGACGTGAACGGAATGTATCTTGCTAACATATTTTTATATCCCAGAAACTTGAAATAAAGTTGCCTAAAAAAGCGTTCCAGCTTGATACGCGCCAGAGTAGCCGGCTAGATACCCTTCGCTCGGGTGGGGTGGGGGTCAATTTGAACCCCCTGAGATCTCGGGAATTAAGAAAGCTGGATATACCAAATTTACAGGGTGTGCTAACCTGCACGTGAACTCACTTAGGCCAAAGTTTGAGCTTGCTAGATCCTGGCCTTTAGGTCAAATAAGGTCGAACAAGGTCAATTCCAAGTTGGTCTTCAAGGTGCCCCCAGAACCTAGGCAACTGTTTCCAAGCAAAACGTCACAAACCCATTTAAGGTTAGTGACCTTGTTTGAGGTGTTCAAGGTCATGGTGCCCAAAATCATACAAGACTGCTCTGAGTTTTGCGTTTGAATAAGCGACGGGCAGTATGCTCCTAAAACAAAATGTCAACCGGGTCATCTTAGGTCAATGACCTGTTCTGACCTCCAAGAAGTCAATGGAATATGTATAATGCGGTTCCTGCCGTCAATAAATTCGAAATGAGCACAAGAAACTATCCCATACAGCAAGCCCTCAAGTAATAAATCAGGTTGGTTTTTTCCTTGGTCTGATCTTTATGCCTGACCTTAGGTCAACGAATCTGCTCATTCAATATTTGTGGTGCCTAAGAAATTATCTCAGAGATGTATGACTTCGTCAAACACTCCGTTCTTGTATCAGACTTGACGACTTCCTAGAAATTGCTTTAGCTCAAACCATGGCCTGACTTTGACCTGCCATAGGTCAACGACCTTACCCGGCACATCTAAAAAAAATTATGACACACGATCTGCTGTTCAATTTTCTACAGCTGTGCAAAATTTGGCGCGGCCACGCCGCGCCGTTCGGAAACCATTCTGGAAAAGTCTTCGGGGGGTCAATTTGACCCCCGCCTGAGCGCGTATTAATAATCATCATCAGGAAGGTGCGAAATATGCTAAAAATGGCAATACTTGTATAGATAATACGCTGCGGTGTCCGCCTCTGTCCACAGGCAACCAAATACGTGTTCCGATTAATACCACGGCAAAGTTACCCACGAATCCCGGGGTAAATACATATATAATTCTATAAGGTAGTTCGGAACCGGTGCAAACCTCCCCTTCCAGTCTGCTTCGTTCTCCTTGTTGCACAAACCGTGGCAGAAGCTCCCGCTGCTGATGCTGGTCAGAGGATTAACAACTCCCTTCCGCTCACAGCCAACCACCTGCACGCCGCCAGCAATGAATTGCGGCCTCAAATGGCTCTTGCGTACCCCCGACCCAACCAGCTTCTGAGCGTAGTACGGTCACCGGCTCCTCGCAGTCGCGTCGGGCACTTGGCGGCCGGCTGTCCGTCAGGTTGCGGCCGAGGGTCCCACACCTCCTGTCACGCCGGCACGACTCAGGTCGGGGCTGACCGCTCCTCCACTCCACCGCGGCAGCTGCCGGTCGCCACACAACTGACTTCTGACTCTTCCACTCGGTCGCCGCCCCGTGCCGCGGCGGGACTTTCCCGAGGCCCGGCGCTCCGCCACGGGGGAGCGTGACCCGAGCTCCGGAGGAAGGGCGGTCCGAGCTCCGGAGGGAGGGTGGTCCGAGCTCCGGAGGGAGGGTGGTCCGAGCTCCGGAGGGAGGATGGTCCGAGCTCCGGAGGGAGGGTGGTCCACGCGCGCTAGGACGGCGTCGTTTGCGATGCTGCTGCCGCGGCGCAGGCTGGAGACTCGTGCGTGTCTGAGATGCTGGCGGTCTCCTGCCACGCCTTCTGCCGTAGTTGCGCTGCTCTTCTTGACTGAGGTCGTGTATCGCAGAACAGAAACATGAAGGACGCATGGGTGTGACATGACATCAGTTCAGGTGTGCAGTCGACATTCCCCACAAATGGAGCACGAATTGCGTGGCAGTAGTTAGGGACGTGGTAAGCAACATAATGCAGAAAGCAAAGTTCACATGCGTGTGTGCTTGAAAATTGCGAGCATGTACATTTGTTTGCTCGAAAACCATCACCGGGGTGGGTTTTGAAGGCCTGAACCCGTTACAACTCTCATTATCTGGGGTTTGTTTCATTACTTTACTGTAAAATACGACATTACGAAATGGACTGTAAAATATGATACTGCAGAATCCGATACGATGAAGAGGTACGTTAAAATACGATGCGGTAAAAATACGATGCTATAACATGCGTACGAAGTCGAACGGTGAATCCAATACATGCTCTGAATTGACAGCAGAATGTGCTAAACCTAGAGTACATCCAAGAGGAGAAGTTTTCTACTTATGCCATATCTGTGTGTTGGATGTAGGTATTGCGCCTCACTCCAGTTGCTGGAGTTCCAAAATGATTTCTGCTGGCCTGATGTCTAGGCCGAGTCCAGAGTCATGCCTTCTTACAGCAGCTGACTCCAAGTCCGAGTGAATCACTTTTACAACTAAGTCTTAGAGCATGAAGTCTTGGTTCCCTACCGTGCAGTTTTTTAACACCAGTTCAAGCGTTACAACGGCAATTGCAAGGAAATATGGAAGTGAACTCGTACTTCATTAAGTGGACTGAGCGTTTCGATGGGCTCATTTTTATCTGGAAGGGCACGCCAACCAGAAGAACTGTATCTTCTGAGGAAGAACTCTACACGACCACTGTCTTCAAAGTCCGATGCACGGCAGTAGATGTGCCGCATGGCTTGCATGGGGTGCGATGAGCTGACACAATGCATGGTTTGTCGTGGACAAAATTAAAATCTCTGGTCTATTCTGGTCCGAAGATGAGCGTGGTCAAACGACGACTGTTGCAGGGGAGCGTCCCAAAGCCGTCCTCCAGAATTTCTGACGACGCCTGAGCAGACGGCAGAGCCCTCTCCCCCCCCCCCCCCCGATGGGAGTGGCTGCCGCGTGACGGTCCACCCGCTCACTGCGAAAAAGTACTTACCTGGCTTAGGAGTCTCTTTGGAACGCGACTTGTCTCCGCGAATACTACCGACGAACTGGCTTCGCGCGTACAGGACCTGACCACCGCACAGCTGTCTCCCTGAGTATTCTTAAACGGCCAAGTTTGTGCCGGAAAACCATGGTGTGTGGAGAGGTTGGGATGACCATTAGATATAGAGAAGTTGGAGATGGTCATTAGATAAAGAGAAGTTAGGGACGGCCACTAGCGGGGAAGTCCGTTCTATTGGCGTCGTGATCCGTGCCAGGGCCCTCTAGAACTTGAAGTGCAGGATTCTCTTCTGCCTTCCCTGGCGTGCCTGCCACCTAAATTATCTCCGGTGAAATAAGAATGATAATGGAAGACGGCGTCCAATAGAGCTTTACATTTTGAAAGTTCTTAGGTTGGGTTAGCGCCCTTCAGTATACTGTGAGGGGCAGGCTAGGCGATATTGCGGTGCTAAATAACGGTTTTGTTGGCGGCACTCAGTATTTTGAATCTTTGCTTACCCCCAGGAATAAGGATGAGCCATTTAGGACGGCGTTTTTTACTTTGCAGAAGAGCCACCTTGACCATTATAACTACAAATATTCTATGCAGGTTGAGAAGCTCTAGAGGTATTAAAAGTTAAGTGAATTGTTGGACATCCATAAAAAAAACACAGTATATGCAACTAAAAAACACGCACGGATCGTTCAAAGAAGCATATCGATAGAATTTCACATGCAAAGGTCCTCCAAACCTGCAAACAGAAGTCGTTGCTACGGTGTGCGGTAAGGTGGTCAGCGTCAGTCTCCCCCTGGGCTATCAACCAGGGCAAAACGAAATTGTTTGAGGCGATGAGGTTTTTGTGTTACTGGTGGGGCTTTTGCATGATCTGAAACCAAACTCCTCTGGTGTCCGCTAGGTTGACATATTTTGAATGACGTACATATTCTTATATAAGTGAGGCATTCGTTTTTCATGCGGTTTATGGTAAAACACTCATCGGGAGCAAAATGTCTTCTTCGCGACTGTTGAAGCTGTTCGTGGTAACTCAATCTACTAGAGACCGTTTGCGACACGGACGTTCACCGACACGGCTGGGACAGAGACAGATGACAGATACTCTGTAATCTGACCCGTCCTGATACGGCGTGTACTCTGTCATCTGACCCGTCCTGACACGGCGTGTACTCTCTCATCTGACCGGTCATAATACGACGTGCGCTCTCTCTCATCTAACCGGTCATAAAACAGTGCGTGTTTTCATCTGGCCCGTCACAAAACAGTGCGTGCTCTCATCTGGCCCGTCACAATAAGCCACAGAGGCCTCTGACATCCCCCAAGCCTCGAGATCCCCGACCGGCGCGACCGGCCGGGCCTGGAGTGCCTCTCACCCTCGGCGCAGTGAAAGCGACTTCCGCACCGCCCGTACTGACCGACTGGCCGGTACGACACGGGCGCAGCGACAGCAGCTACCAGCCGTGAAAAAAAAAAAACATGAGTGGCAGGGGAACACCCGACCGTCCTGTCGACGGCGCTACCATTTGAGAGAACACAATGCTGTGCCTGACAGCGGACTGTTAGTTTTGGACTGGTCTGGTTACAGTCAAAACTGGACTGGTCACAGTCAAGATCTGCGTTAAAATCCTCGGGCTCCTGTTTGATAACCAGTGATACCGGGGCTTGCGTCTGTGTCGGGATATGTGCTGTTCCTTGTGCCTTGTGCTTTGTGCTTGTGCTTATGTGCCTTTCTTCTGACAATGGCTATGATTTTATAGCTTCTGATGGGATCAGGTGATAGACCTTTGCTGTGTCTTTTGATTCTCGCACGGACGAGGGGTAATTCAGTGCGAGAAAATGGCACCCCTTGACCGTTTCGGGAGAAACTGGAGAACGGCTTGCGCTAGCGCTCAAAGTCTTTAATATCTTGTATTTCACGTATGCTGTAAGAATTTTGTGTGGAGCTCATGTCATGTCTGTGACCTAGCTAATTTAGCCAAGGCATGCTGAACCAAAAGACAAACTGAGTTAAGGTATTCTACCAACGCAAGGTAAGGTCCCTGTGGTTATAGTTTGCTTACTTAACAATGCCATTTTCTGACCTACCACTGTGCTGACATCAACCATAGCTGGTGTCAGTCAAAACGACAACACCACTGGATGGCAGAGACTCGTCTCGGTGAAAGGAAATAGGTGACCTCGTTGTTGCCATTGAGGCTTTACGACGCACCCAGCTGCTGATGCTATATGGCGTCACCTGCCTCTCACCCTGGCAGGAAGGGCGGGCACCACGGGGAATCGAGTCCCGTTCCTTGGATTCCCAGGCGCGCAGTGGTTAACGCAGACGCCTGAACCACCACACTGCCGGCGCCCAGCAGGCGATCTCGAAGACACTTATGCCGACCCGTGTCAGACACCCCTTGTTCATTCCAGTCATGTAAAAGCTGGCTTTGTAACAGATGGCATCAGTTATGGCATATTATTACATCATCGTTTACATGGCATTAACATACTGATGGGTTCCTGCCCGGCTGGCCTGCTGGGACGCGCCGGCAGCGACCGGACTGTTGCCCGGCGCCGCGCCGCCCGTTTCCTGAGGTGCCGGCTCTCCGACCACCCCAGGGGTACCAGGGCCAGGGGTACCAGGGCCAGGGGTACCAGGGCCAGGGGTACCAGGGCCAGGGGTGCCAGGGCCAGGGGTGCCAGGGCCAGGGGTGCCAGGGCCAGGGGCGCCAGGGCCAGGGGTGCCAGGGCCAGGGGTACCAGGGCCAGGGGTGCCAGGGCCAGGGGTACCAGGGCCAGGGGTACCAGGGCCAGGGGTACCAGGGCCAGGGGTGCCAGGGCCAGGGGTGCCAGGGCCAGGGGCGCCAGGGCCAGGGGTGCCAGGGCCAGGGGTACCAGGGCCAGGGGTACCAGGGCCAGGGGTGCCAGGGCCAGGGGTGCCAGGGCCAGGGGCGCCAGGACGCTGTAAAACTCTGCTTTTGGCTAGCGGGCGGCGAGCGAGGTTATACTGCGTGTGTGTCTAAAAGCAAGGGCACAGTCGCCTCATTGACTGATGAAATGCACCTCTGCTTGACCGCTGTCTCTCGGGGATGCGACGCACATCACATCAAACATTAACATGTAACACATGAAATTACGACGTAGGACATTATGGCATTAGTGCTATGCGGCAAAATTTGCACTTCAAAAGTAACTACCGTCATTAGTTTTGCTGCAAAAATGCACACGTTCCTTACTTATACGCAATGCTAATCACGCTACAGTATTTACGTGACGGGACAGCCAGTACGTCACGGCACGGCACGGCACGGCACGGCACGGCACGGCACTACACGCAACAGAACGGAGAGAGGACAAGACGAGGCGGAACAAACCTAGGGAGGCGTGCGGGGAGAGAGGGCAGGATGAGGGTACACGGGCCCTGACTTATTTTTCCTTCTGAATTTGCGCCGGTTCTGCCCTCTTCTATGCCCCAAACACTTTGTCTCCATACCTCCCTGTTTTGTGCCGTGCCCCGTCCTCTATACTGCATCACCGT